AAAACGTCCTATTCACACACATACACACACACACACACACACACACACACACACGGCGTCCGGCTTCTAACGTTTCCATTCTTTTCTAACAACGAATTCTTCGGTCAATTTGGAGGCGATTCTTGACGAAAACCAGTCGACTCTTACCAATTTTCAGCATCCTACTTTTTCACGACTATAAACCTCAATTATGAACCCAACTTATAAACCTCAAATTCGGACCCTGCTCCGAATTTGAATTGAAAGAAAGTCAGCTTTGAAGCGGATAGAAACGCGTTGCTTCGTTCATCTTGACGAAACTTCGCTTCCTCGCCAGCGGGATTCTTACGACCCCGCCGCCACGATCGTCAATTATCAGCCGGCCAAGTGCGGGACTTGGCGCGGCCGACAAGTAGCCGTCATTCTGACGGTGAAATCAAGCGTGCTACGCTCTCGTCCGAGCATCCGTTCCGCGCTAAGCTGGGAGCCGCCGTCCGGCTCGCGCGCGGCCGGTCAACGCGCTTATTAATCCAATAATCTGCTGCGTAATCCAGCATCGTCTATTAATCGGCCGTCGCGGAGGAACGCGCGCATCACGTGCTCGCGCGAGAACTAATGAGCTACGCCCGAAGACAAGCGCCTAATGAGCGTCCGGCCGCTCGCGCGATAATAAGTCGCTCGCGCGGAGGAAAAGAAACGCGTCCCTTGGTGCAAGTCGATCGACGCTCCTTTCTTCGCTCCCGTTCGCGCCGATACACTATACAGACCGATCGATCGATCGCGAGCGCCGAACGCGCCCGCCGCTCAGCGTTCCGATCCAATAAGTAAGAACGGAACGGCGCGTCGCGGTGTGTAATCTTTATCGCTCATGCGAATCGGTCCCGCCGCGCGGCGCGATCGATCGGCGACAATTCGTTCTGACTGATCGTTTCGTTCGCGACCGCCGCGAGAACGATCGCGGAATTAGCGCGAGTCCTTTTCCTTCCGTTGGAACATTCTAAATTACATCTCCGTCACCGCTGACCCGTAACCGTAACGTAACGATCGACTGCGAATTCGCAGAACGAAGACGCGAAGCCCCCCCCCCGATGGTTCTCATTTGTTTAATAACAATAATTTTTATTCACTGATGAAAAGCCTTTAATGTTCTGAAAGAAAGAGGCGCAGCGCGGATGAGGCGAGATACCAAATAGATTTTCTTTATAAACGAGACGCGCGCGCACGTATTTCCCGTTTGCTGCAATTGCATACTTTATCATGAAATGAATATCTGCATTTTCAAGGACGGGCAACCGACGACTGAGATTCTCTCGCTGCTGATTCGCGACATCAGTAATATGTAAATAATCAATCGAGTGTGTGCGTGTAACCGCCACTCGTTCGTACTTTGCCTGTCGAGGTTGTTGAGATGACTTCTTTTTGCTCGACGCGACGGAAAAAACCTCAACGTCTCATTGCAGCGCGCCGGGGAAAAAGCAAGCGGCGTGATCAAACCAAGCTGTATCTTATAGTCTTTTTTTCTCACACCGATACATCACACTATTTTAATATAATATGCACGATGCAGAAAAACAGCACGTACCTTGTCCCGGCCGATGTTTATCCCGGCGATCGACCCGGAGCAACGCGCGACTTCTTTGTCCGTATGTTGCGCCGTAATTTAAGCCAAGCCGAGTAACTTCTCGAGCCGAGCGATACGGCAGGTGTGTGTGGAAAACGTGTGCGAGAGGTCTCGTTCTCCCGAGAGATAATTGTATTCGTCGAGCGTAAAAACGGCGGCGCGAATCCGTCCCGCGAAACGCGTCATCTTCTCGGCCACGTTATTGAGCTCGTGTGTACGTCCGCGCCGAGCTGCGGCCACGTTTCCTGGTACACGGCTCGCCAAGAGAGAAGATCGAGAATCCGGTACCTCCGTGTTCCGCGGGAAATTTATTCGTATCACGAGCGTCGAACCGCGTCCAGAGGTGAGTCCGCCCGGCGACGGTGGACTCGCCGAAGGAGTTCGCCGGGACGAACTCGACGCACTGGATATACTGGCTTCTCTCCGAGAAGCGAGAGCGGCGAAGCACTCGCTCGCCGGACTATTCGCCGTCGCGGAAAGACGATTGCGAGATATATTCGCGGGGTATCCCGCGGGCATCCGCGCTCTTTGAGAGCGCGAAGCTCATGCGAGAACCCTCCCGCGATGCGACGTGCCGTGTGCTGTGCCACCGACGAGCGCGAGACGAGTTTTCTCCGCTCTTTCGCTACTCGCGACGACAGAGAGAGAGAGAGAGAGAGAGAGAGAGAGAGAGAGCCGAGAGCGTTTTCAATTACGTTTCCTTACGCGGCGCGACGCGACTCGCGCTCCCGTAATTCCGATGACCACGAGACGATGCAAGGAGCAACACACCCGGCGCTTTGATGCACGTCGAGCGGGCACAGGGAACGCGAAGATTTATTCTAGGTCTACGCGTATTCGTCTCACGCGGCCGCCTTGAAAGGTCAGTCCCCTTAGATCGCGCGGTTTTTCAGTAAGACGCGACTCTGCCGCATGCTGCCTCTCTACGTGGCGTAGAATAGAATATGTTGCTATACCAGTTGCCGTGTACTGGGATGGATCTGACTCGCGGTCGCACGGGGTCATTGCGACCTCGCGTCATGATCGTTGGACGTTAGAGAATAATAATCTTCCGCGGTGACACGGGTGATTTAATTGCGAATAGCGAGCGATTTATCATGCGTTATCTCGCGTCGAGTTTATCGTCGCTAAAAGCCTGCCGTTGCTTCCGTAATATGAATAGTTTCCTCTCCGCATTCATTCAACACTCCTCGACGAGATCACCACGACTGCATGAAAAAGAGAGAGAGAGAGAGAGAGAGAGAGAGAGAGAGAGAGAGAGAGAGAGAGAGAGAGAGAGAGAGAGAGAGAGAGAGAGAGAGAAAGAGAGGAGAAATGTGCGACTAATTAGGGGTTAACAATTTACGAAGATTTATGTAAAACCGACAATACAAAGGGCGAGCGCGGTGAAATGCCCGAAGATATCGATCGCTACAAACGAGAACGTAGAAGCTAAGCTCGAAATACAGCCAGGTGCACCAGCATAAATTTATGGTGAGGTAAAACGACACACACCGCGAACCATAACAGGGACAGGCGGAAGCCGGATGCACGATAAAGGCCTCTGGAAGAAAAATAACGATCCACAAATTTAACGACTGCACTGAAAGATTATTTACGAGTCCACCTAACGAATTGCGCGTGGATGGTAAGAACTTTTCGCGACGCAAATCCCCTAAAACCAAGTCGAGGCCTCGTCAGGAAGCGTTTCTCAAACCCAAACATGATCTGCAGAAACTGCCTTTTACCGTGGACCGTTAAATGCCTTTAAGGCCGACATAATGTGGGCAAGATAACGCGGCATCGTGTACAGCACGTCCCAAAATAATTTGCATAAACAGAAAGTTTCGTCTTAGAGAACGATACCGAATATTCGGCACGAAATATTTGATCTATCATAACCGATCAGCAATATTGAGCGAAGCGCGTCTGATATTTCGAATGTTTCTTTTAGCGAAAATTTCAAACTACAGAGATTGCACGCGGAATGAGACGATATTTCTGAGACACGCGGTACAACAGAGGAACAGGTGGCCGCGTTTCTCCGGCGCGAGGAATGTTGTGCAAAATGACTGGCACGAACACTATTTAATGATCAACTTGTACACTCGTCTTGGCGAGACTGTAATACGCCAAGTGACGCATTAGAGGCGGCATAAGGGACCCGTGAAGTAACCTCGATAAATAAAACTGTGATTCTCACGGCACAAAACCCGATCTGGGATGTGTTCTATCTCGAAGACGGTAGGATTTTGAGCGATTTGGCAATTGAACGTTTCAATAATTATCAAGGGTAATAGTTCCATCACCTGCAAGCCAGCTGATGGTTCTATTGATACATAGATACAAAAATCTGCGCTTCACGCAGACTAAATCCACTCCGCAGCATAATACTTTGCAGTGCACGATACTTTCATCGTTTTACGATTCATCTCTTATGCTTCGAGCTGCTGAGATTTCACAATCAGCACAGCTGCAGAAAATGTTGCTAATGTCAATTAGAATAAATTACATGCGACAAGTAGCAATTTACTTTATTCCACCACTGGCATAAATTTGCAAAGGAACGTTCGCAATGCTGTCTCTAGACAATCACGTGCAATTAGTGCAACAAATCGTTCCAAGGAATTTCCTTGAAATAATTGGAAACTGATAATAGATAAAATAATAATCCCGCGCGAACATTTTCTTCAAATCAATTATTTCAGCTTGTGACAACCTTAGGAGTTCGCTCCAATTTTACTCGCTAAAAATTTTAGTTCTTCGCCAATCACTTCCGTCTTCAAATCGTTAGGTTAATTTAAGGTTAAGAAATGTTTATTAATAGTCGATTTTGTATCGATGATTATTATATAAAAGCTTTCGACAACAGTAAAAAATAACTTGAACTCGAAAGTTAACGAATAAAAACTTTCGTGCAAATTTTCGTTGCATGAGTTTTATAAGTTTTATAAGTTTTATGAGTTTATAATTTTTATAATGTAAATAATGAGAGCAACGTGCAGACGATTTTCTCTCCGAAATTTAAACAGCGTGTCGAGAAATTATTAACGACCAAGGAATATTCTTTTTTACTCGCACTCTAAGGAGAATATCTTTTCATGTATATCGCAATTAGTAGACTTTTCAATTCGCAAAGCACAATTTTCATTGTATATGTAATAAACATCGCAGATCTGAGATATATTAAAACGTCCTGTATGATATCAAACTGAATGTGTTCTGCAAAATCCTCGTGTGTGTGTGTGTGTGTGTGTGTGTGTATGTGTCAGTCACTAGTGTTTGGAAAGAAAAATAATCTCGAAGGTCAACAAGAGGTGACTTCCAGTCAAAATAGATTAGCGAAAAGTATATTTATCATATGTGAAAGATTTACTAATCTAAAATCACTGACGGGACGATACAAAAGAGGAACATTTACCTCCGATGATGGCTTAATCCATCCGGTATCATATCCAGAATGTCATGGCACAATCAAGAAACGACAAATACAAGCAAAACTCTTCACCACCAAAGCGCGATTTGCGGAACTCGCGAGACCTCGCGATCGCGCGGTTCGCGATACGCGCTTGTGTCACCGCGTAATCGCACAATTCGTCTCCGTCACTTCCGCTCGCGAGGACGAGGAAAAGCGAACTGGACACGACAAATCGGCCAAAATGTCCTGCCCCGCGTTTTTCTCGGCTTTCTGTTTTTCCTCCGCTGTGTTTTTTTCAGAAATGCGAAAAGCGTCACGTGACGTCGATCATGACGAATCGAGCCGAGCCGAGCCGAGCCGAGGATGCTGAGAGAAAGACTACGAATGGAGCCGACGAGCGCGATGAACCGAGCGGGTCGAACGTCGGCGACCAAGTGAGAGGCTAGCGGCACCACCTCACGAGCCGCGTGACGTCACAGGGCCTCCTCTCTTTTTTGCCATTCCACGGCGAGCGCCGTGCGCGCGAGAAAGGTGCTCGTACCCACCTCGCGGGCCCCTTCTCCCTCCGGTGCCCTTCTTCGCGAGGTGCCACTGGAGGAGCGCACCTCTCGACGATATCAACGTTAACGTCGCGCTGCCGGCCAAATTCCTAGGGTTCACGCGCTACCGATCGCTCTACCGGAGTTTTCCTTTCTCGGAGTGCCTCGAAGCCGGTCCTTGAGGTCTGATTTCGAGTCGCGCGGAAAATTCGATCGTTCCTGTTTTCCTCGGCAACCTTGCGCGTGAATAATAGAACGTTGACATACTTCGATGCTTATCGAGGCAGTTAGACGAAAGCCTTCACCGGTGGTCCACGTATCTCACTCCAGAGATCAAGGTATCCTTAGCGTCTCGCCTTTTGAGTTGGGTCACGCTACCATATACCCGCGTTATGTCTACATTACGTAAATTTCAATTCTCTCTCTCTCTCTCTCTCTCTCTCTCTCTCTCTCTCTCTCTCTCTCTCTCTTTCTGTCGAATAGAAAATGCGCGGGAACGAATGTAATCCCGCAGAACGAATTGAGCGACCTGATTGCACGCAGGAATCAAAACCCACCGTCATATCGATGTGAAGTCAACGAAGCATACATTCAACGTTCCGTCTTAGCCGGCGCGTCGCTTATCACCGTCGATTATATCCGTTCACTAAACATGGACCGCCATAAATCGTGCTAAAATTGCTCCGAATCGTCGCTTACGCGCGACGCTCTCCTGCGGCTCGATCGATCGATCGATCGAGACACCCGTTATACGTGAGATCGCGCGCGCGTTCTTTTGAGCGGGGCACAAAGCGAAGAGCGAACACTTTCACGCGGAGGCCGAGTTAGTAAATATCATGGCCATATTTTCTATCCGCTCGTCTTTATCCCATTCGCTCGTACACGGCAACGGACACGCACGCTTCTCCTGCTCACGTCATTACGCGTTCTTGCCTCCTTTACTTATCCCTTGCCCCCGCTACTCTATCCCCCTTCGTCACGATACGACATCGGATAGATGCGGCCCTCCGCTGCCAACCCTCGTCTCCTCCTCCCCCCGTTCGACCGCCTTCTCACCCCTCCCTCCCCCGGACCATAATCATCGCGCGCGCACAGACGCCTCGGCATTCCTCCACCTTGATTACCCTTTATTACGGCAGGCCCAGAGCGCGTGACATGTGCTCGAGCTTCGTTAACATACTGTCGCAAATTGCCAGCGGAATTATATCATTTTACCGAAATGATGATAATAATAACGGCTAGCTAGCTAGCTGTTCTAGCTGGGATCGAGAAGATCGGAAGCGTGTATCCGGCGACGCTCGAGATGGACGACGAATTGGAGCGCTCTTTGCAGCGTCAAGATCGCGGAGGGCTGGATCGCGAGGAATAAAAGTGTACGATGAGGATTTCACCGGACCGCTGTGAGCGGCCCAGGTAAAAATATAGATGAAATAAGCGAGCGTACCGTCTCTTCCTCTCTCTTTCTTTCTTTCTTCGTCCGTATGATTTAGTATATACCGGGATACCTGTCGGATACGATCCATCCGCGGCGATCCATCTCGACGCGGAGACCTCCCGCGGTCGGTCCGATTAGAAATTTGTTGAAACGTTCATTGTCCGGTCGCGGATTTCCGCGGAGCACGAGCGCGGAGTCTAATCGCGAGCGACGGAGCTATCGCGAAGCGCGGAAGCGAAGCGACTTTTACGATCGGGACTTTTTCTTCGGCTTTACAGCGCGGCATTGGCGAGTCTCGGTCAGTGGACTTGAGTCATTGGAGGAGGAGGAGGAGGAGGAGGAGGAGGAGAAGGAGGAGGAGGAGGAGGAGAGGCAGACGAAGAAGGAAGAGGTGGAGGCGCGCAGCTGCCCAAGGGGAACGAGAGAGGAGACCGACCCCTCTTCCCGTGTATCGTCAATTGCGCTCGGGTATTCAGGATGCGCTGTGCTCTTAGGCAGGTGATGCAAGAGGACGAGCGAAACGAGCTGATCCTAGATCGCGGGACGGAGTACGCCCGCTCGACCGACCCTCAGCGCCGTGCGTCGATCCGATGATCGCGGCGTAAATGCATTGCGCGTAACGGTGACGCGATAAGTCAGTAATTCGCCCGAAATGCAGAACACGAAATTGTCAACGCACGAGAAATAGTAGCCGGGTATAAGGTGTAGTCCTCCATAAGGTATAAGAACGGCAGAAAAAAATAAAAGATATTAAGGAATTTTTGCAATACCGTCTCGCAGATACGGTAAACGTAAATCGTGAACGTTGTTCGCTCAGAAATAACGCCGCCAATAATGTACGCGGCCGATAGCATTCACAATCAACGTTTACCGTATCTGAGAGACGGTACTGTAAAAACTACCCTACTCAAGAGTTTGGACGCGATCTTTTTTAATATTATCGTTAAAAAGGAAAGGGAATGGTATGTATTCCATTTGGAGGAGCAGCAGTGCTCGAGTCGTCACCGCCAGCGGCGAATTTTGATCCGCTATTATCACACACAAAGGCTGGGCTACTTTCTCGCACGCCACCCTGCACAAAGGATATATGATGAACGCTAATAAGCGACCTAGGTGAGAAAAGTGAGAAGGCGTCCTGGACACAAGCGTTCCAGTGGCGGATTTCGATACGTGGAATGCTGTGAGACCAGTACGTTGTTACGGGACCAAACTGCCTTTCCACTTAGATCGCGGATTAGATGCGGATTCGACCGGCGGTCGAACCGTCTTAGCCGAAAAATGCCGGTGCCCGGAGCGATTCGCGACAGGATCGTCCTCTCTGTTATATTTTTCAAGTCGCGGTCTCGGTATCACGATCCTCGTTATCTCGGATTTCTCCATGACAAATCCGCGCCAGTAGGCGCGGTTCTATTCGCCAACCGCTAGTTTTTAATGTACGCTTCAATGAGCGTGGAAGAGGCGGAGATGACGCCTGGCGAGAGGAAGATGTCGGTCGGGCTCGATCGCGACTCGTAAAAAGGAAAGCAGAGAATTCAGAACGGAGAGAAGGTCGAGCGGGAGTGTTGAAAGTATCAAAGTGGCTCCCAACCGAGTGACATCTCTCAAAACTTCATCGAGCGACAAGTTCTAGTTAACGGGTGCTCGATAAACTGCACCTTCCAGCGTCTCTCCCGCGGTGAGAAGTGTAACTCCGTGCGTAAAAAGAAAATCACGAAAAACGAGGGAAAAGTAAGCCGCGCTCGCAGGTGGAATTCGCTTCACACACCGTTAACGAGTAAGCGAGCGGCGTCTCGTGTGTGGAGAAGGTAGAACTATGCTGGGTAGCCGAAGTACTCTTCAACGTTCACACGATAAGACGGATAAAGCCCACTTGTACCGCCGCCGCACAAGCGGTTGGCGGAAAATAAGAAATGTAAGAGCGGCGCGCCGCGAAAGAGGAATCTCGCTTGGTGTGTTTGCGAAAAATCAAGTTCTCCTCGGCGAGCAGGAGAGAGAGAGAGAGAGAGAGAGAGAGAGAGAGAGAGAGAGAGAGAGAGAGAGAGAGAGAGAGAGAGAGAGAGGGAGAGAGGGAGAAAGGGAGGGAGGGAGGGAGGGAGGGAGCGAGAGAGATAGAAAAAGAGAAAGACAAGACTCTGTGCTAATATTAAATTACTTTAATCGCCCGTCTTTGCGTCATCCCGCGGAGAAGCGTGACGAGGCGTCAGTCGCGGCGCTGTGTCGGTGCGTTATTTGAAAGTCGCGCTATATTACGCCGGCACGATCCGCGGCGCGAGATAACGGCGACAGCCAGGAACGCACACTTCTCATGCTTTTCTTTTTTAAATTTCCACCTCGCGCAAATATAATCGCTTTCGATCTAAGATTTCACTACGGCTGCGAACACGGCCGCTAGACGCGAGACGACGACCTCGCGTTTCGGCCGCCGTTAAAACCTGCTCGCGCTGTTGCTAAGCATTTCAGCTGCGGGTACTAGACGTAGCACCTGCGCTGCATTTCGCGCAGGCTAAGTTCCAATTGGCATTTGCCGATAACTACAACTGTATCTCGTTATCGACTGGTGTCTGATTACTCAATTGGTATCTAATTACGGGATCTCGCCGCTCGAGGAAACTCGGCACTCATTGCTCCTTCCTCGAACACTCCAACAGTGTTTGGCATAGCCAAACATTTTAATTACGATATCATTCTTCCTGTTATTATAGAGTAGAAAATCAAGTGAGCTAATCAAGAAATCACTCGCGTGCAATTATTAACCGGCATCCAATGATCCATCGAGGGTTCCTTGTCATACGATACAATGCAACTTTCTAAGGAAATGGCTGTACAATAATTGTATCGCGAGTAACTATGCTCGTAAATAAACGCCACGATATCTCATCGCTTTAAGTACGCCGAGGGAAGAGGAGGAACGCGAAGGTGGAAGCGAAGAAGAAAACGTTGAGAATAATTAAGAGAGTCGTCGACTGGCACGACCGTAAGTCCGTGATCTTGAGCAGCATTCTTGTGTCGTGGGAGTACTTCACATAGTTAGCATCGCGGAAGAATGCGAGCGAGACAGAAGGACGTGGTGAAGGGGGCGAGGCGGCGGGAGGAGGGAGAGGATGCCAGACAGAAACGGAGTCACGTAGAAAAAAGGGAGAGGTGAGCGGCAGCGACATAATTAATGATTTCTCCGCGGTAATTAGCGTTTTCACTGATCTTGACTCGAGCCTCCTGCAGTTCCTATTCGCTCACCTCGATACTCTTCCTCTTTGCATAACGAGTCCGCGACGCACGCGCGCGCGTATCTATTTTTTATCAACGTTTTCATCGTGCGCACGTATGCGTACGTATTTAAACGTGCCGTTTAGACACGCGGCTATCTCACGATGAAGAGTTTCCAGTGCCACCGCGACGGGAAATCTTAACTTTATTATGTCATTATACAAATGCGCGCGATATCCGCGCGCGGT